CCCCAACACACTCCTGGAACCCCGGGTAGCCTGGGCTGCGGGTCTGCTCCCGCGGACCGGGACGTGGAGGCATGCCCGGGGCCTGGCCGCGTCCAGCGCCGCTCGCCCGCCCAGCCGCAGCCGGGGCGAGCCGGAGAGGTCGGCGCTGACCCCGCAGCTCGGCGCACGCAGGTCCCCGCCGCCCCGGCCCCTCACCTGGCCCCGCGGGCTGCGCTCGCGTCTCCGCCCGCGCCTTCCGGGCTCGCGCCCCGCTCGGGCCCGCAGGGTCGCCCATGCCAGGCCGCCGCCGCCGCCGCCGCCTCCCGCTCTCGCCGCGCCCGCCCGGCGCCCCCGCCCGCGGTTCCGGCCGCGCCCGCGCCCCCCGCCCCCAACTCCTCCCCCGGCGAGCGGCCGGGCGGGGACCGTGACGCGCGCCCATTGACGTCTCCGGAATCCCGGCGGCGGCGGCCGACGCAGCCTCATCAATGGGCTAAAAATAGCGGCGCCCGGAATAGCCGCGAGCGTCCCGCCCCCCGTCCCCCGCCTCCCAAAGCGCTCCCGCCGCCGCACGCCCCGTTACATAACGGGCCCCTCCCGAGGGCAGGGTGGGGGTGCTGTTTCCAGGTGAGCCCTCTCGGGCGTCCCGGACACCACCCCGACATCCAACTCATAAATAAATCTACCCGGGGACTTCCCCTGAGCGCTCGGTGGAAAAAGTGAGGCCCAGAGGGGTTTGGCTGCAACCCAAAGTCACACAGCAAGTAGGCTGCTTGGGAGGTCAGGACCCCAGCCTACCTCTGAGCCTGTGGGCACCCCAAGGTGGCATGAGCCTCTCAGCCTGTGGGACCGTGTAGCACCCCAAAGACAAGGAACCTAGGTAACAGGCAGGGTACAGGGCTTCCACGGGAGAAGGCAGCTAGGAAAGAGGACTTCTGAGAAGGTGACGTGTTTCCTGAAAAACTACTTTCCGAGGCAGGGGCATTCACCAATCTGGCTGCTCCCATATACCTGGGTGACCTAGGACAAGTCACCTAGCCTTCTGAGCCTCTAGTCTCCAGCCACCTTTTGCAGTGACCAGACCCCAGCAGCTGTGGAGTAAGTGGTCTTGCACACAGTAGGCACTCAGGGTTTGGTTCCCGCCCCCCCTCTTCTGGGGACTTTGTGATCCACAGTGTGGCTGCCTTCTGTCTCTGCCTTAGCTAAGCACAGTCCTCTCAGCAAGACCCTCGGGATGAGGGGTCAAGGAGGTCCTAGGCCTCTGAAAATGAGAAGTCCACCCTGTTCTGAGCAAGCCCCTCTCCCCAACAGATGCCCATTGCAACAAGCTACACAACAGGAAGCCTGTTGTGTGATAAAACTTTTCCTGGGGAGACGCAGCATACAAGTCTACTCACCACAGACGGGGAGCCGGAGACAGACCACAGTACAGATACTGTCAGAGTCCAACTTGGTGAACTATGAGTTTTATTGGGGTTACTTGCAGAAATATGGGTGAGGGGTTCCTCACGGGAGCAGAAGCGACCCAAAGACAGCATCATCACCAAAGCCCACCCCCACCCCCACCCACACACACACAAAGCTGGGAACCTGGAGCACACTGCACAGCCTGCAGGCAGCTCCGCGGGTTGGAGAGCATCCTTTCCAGGTTCCCCAGCTGGTCTAAATCTCTTCCACAGCTGCTCTGGTCTCAGCCTTCTTTGCCGTTCACCTCATGTGAGAGTCTTCTTGGGAGCTCAGGTTCACTTCCTCTGAACTTTTATTGTCTCCTCGGGCAGGGAGAGGACTAGTGAATCTGGTCTGTTTCAGGTACTTCCTGAAGCTATCTTGAGAGGCCTAGTGAATCTGCTCTGTTTCAGGTACTTCCTGAAGCTGTCTTGAGCTGTTTCCCTTTCTACTTCCAGAGCTTCCCTGCACGGTGGAATGTTTCCATCTCAGAGGAAGCTGCTACACAAAGCTCCCTCTCTTCCTACGGTTCCTACATTCTCTCTATACCCTCTCTGCAATGGTCCCTGAGCCTCGGAGGGGGGTGACCGCAGATGGTCACCTACAGCTAAGAAATAGGCCCCCATGACTCAGTGACAGCCTTGTTCTCAGGAGCTTCACCAGTGGTGAGACTGAGAACTAGTGATCTATGGGCGTAAACAGACACAGGCAGTTTGACAGGCGCGTTCCATCCATCTAGTAAAACCATAGAAGCTGCTTCCCACTGGGACTGATGACCTCCCCAGCCACAGGTTTTTGTCCTAGATTTTGTACCAAATGTGAACTCTCTTGCGGAGAGGGCCCCAAATCCAACTGGAAGGCTGTTGGTCTTACTCACCATAACTGAGCCACTATTGCATAAGCAGGCATGTCCCACCCGGCATGTCAGTACTTCAGCATGCAGGGCTGGTAGCTAAGCAGCAATGTTGGTGAGAGTTCTCCACCAGCAGCCTGCGTGGCCACCTCTGGCCGTATGAAGCCAGCCAGCACGCTGGGAGTTGCCCGTTCAGTCCCAGCTTGATTTCTCCATTTCCTGCAGTCAGCACACACATGTGGTGTCTTCAGCAAGGGGACTTTACCGTCTAGTTCTGGCACACAACCAACAGCAGTAACAATAGTCTTTATAGTTTGTGGCTTCCCTGGCCAACAACTCAGGTAGCCTGCCCCTGGCACTGGGGTTTTCATTCAATAGCCAGTGGCCTCTGGGAGTGTCCTTTTGGATTTTTTTTTCCTTTCAATTAACCCAGCCTCAGTAGGGTTGTAAGGTGAGCAGAAGTACCATCGTACCCAAATGTCTCTCCAATGGCTTTCCAAATATGCAAAACCCTCAGAGGTTAGCATTACGTCATCTATATAATAAGACGACGTTTTCCAGAGGGTGGGCAGCCCAAGGCAACATCCCGCACCCCCATCCCGTAACAGTGGGGTTACAAAGATAATCTTGGCGAAGCACTCTGAAAGTCTGTGGTCACCTGTCCTCACTGTCAAGTGACCCCAGAGGTTCAAAACTATATACTAAAGCAAATAGAAGTGAGCGTCTAACACGGCCTGGGAAGGTTCCGTCCATCTGTATCAACTGCTTCCTCCACTGACCAAGGTTGCGTAGGAAGCATGGATAGGAGGCACTAACTTAGTTAGCTCCCTGTAATCCTTCATCATGCCCTCTGAGCCATTACATTTCCATATCCTGGAGCTCTTCCCTGGAGGCCCCTACATTTCTCCACACCTGATCCACTCAGTGGGCCTGACTTAATTTTCTCATACCTACTCAGGCTCAAGCAGGGAGCAAGGCCATGCTCTTTCAGCTGCGCCTGCTGGTTCCCGAGGACACAGTCACCCTGGGTTGGCACTGTGGATGTAGCTGTAACTGTTGCCTCTCCATCCACCACACCTGGCTGCTGGGGGAGTTCCTGACTGGGAAAACCATCTCTACCCCTGATAAAATCTTTGCTGGAGGGAAATGCACACTCCTTGGTGTGGGGGGACAATGACTCGGCCCTGGGTCAGGCATGATCGTCTTCACCTGTGTGGTTCTGCCACGCTGCCGTCTGTGAACTGCTCCTCAGGCTTCACAGCCACCCAGAAGCTCCTCAGCACACAACTTGGCTTCTGTCAATTTTTCCCCTTGGGAACCTCAGCTTGACACAAATCTTGCCACATTTACTGAGTAATGCAGCCAGACGTTTTCTTCTGCTTTACCTTCTTACTGCCTCCTCTAGGTTGCTCTCACTTTACAAACTCTCTTTACACGACAGTCTAAGCCACTGAGATCTGCCAAAGCCTTTCCTACTTTATAAAGGTCTTGTCCCACCAAAGGGCTCAGCAAAGTCACTAAAGCTCTACACCAGCCTGGAGGTCCCTGCTGGGTCAGCCTTTTCTTTATCTCCTCTGTGAACACAGCTCAACCTGGCCCAGGGAACGGGTTCCAACACGACTTCTCTAATTCCTAGTTCCCTCAGTAGCCTCTGCCCCTCCTCTGTGGTCTTCCAGCTCCTGATATTTACAGGAACTTCAGACCGAGATAACCAAATGTCCCTAATGGCTCTGATAAGCCAGTCCATCAGGGGCTGATTTCCCTCACATGGAGGCAGGTCATGCAGCTTTGGCTTTAAGGAGGGATGGGAAGTTAGATCACTCAGTTTTCCTGCAGCCACAGTCAGACTGATTCCATCCACTCCCACGTCCCACAGTCTCACAAGTCAGCCTGAGACAGGATCCTCCATGGCTTGTTTAAAAGTCTTCCCTAATTCCAGCAGCTCGAGGGCTGAGTATTTCTTGATCACACTAGGTTTTTGCATCGGATCATGGTTAATGCCCTGCATGCTGGATTACACACAGATTCCCCTCATTTTTTACAAAAAGGTTGGGCTTGAGGGGCATCTTTTATTGTCTTTATCTCATCCCCTTATCTATCTAATTTGGTTGCCAAATCTGGGGCTGACTTGGAGGATGCTAGCCACACTCCCCTTTCCTGTTGCAACTGCCCCTTTACACAAACAAGCTCCCCCTTGGCCACCATCTCCGCCTCAAGTGCATTTCTAACAACGACACACAACCTCTGCCAGGTAACTTTCTCAGGGTGTCTCCATATCCACATGGCGGACCCCGATCATCAAGCCGGCATGCCACCCACACCACACAGGTAAAGACTGACATGCTGCAATTTTCCCCACGGCCCCTCATGATTCTGAGGGCTCAGCCTTAGTTGCACGTCTCACTATCCAGAGCAGGAACCATGCAACCACTGTCCTAGCACAAAGGCACACCAAAACACAGAGGAGAGGATGGCTCTATCAGTTTCCCCAGGGGATGCTCCCCCTCGGGCTTCTCAGCCTCAGGTACATACATGCCTTGCCAGCCATAGCCAGAACCATGCACTCGCCCCTCCCCAAATCATCTTTGGTTCTGTCATGTCTCTGTTCAGGTGCCAACTATGTTGTGTGACAAAGCTTTTCCTGGGGAGACACAATACACACATCTACTCACCCCAGATAGGGATCCCAAGACAGACCAAAGAACGGATACCACCAAAGCCCAACTTGGCAAACCAATGAGTTTTATTGGGGTCACATACAGGAGTGTGGATGTGGGGTAACTTACAGGAGTGTGGATGTGGGCTCACGTACAGGAGCGTGGATGTGGGGTCACAGGAGCGTGGATGTGGGGTCACTTACAGGAGCGTGGATGTGGGGTCACATACAGGAGTGTGGATGTGGGGTCACTTACAGGAGTGTGGATGTGGGGTCACATACAGGAGTGTGGATGTGGGGTCACTTACAGGAGTGTGGATGTGGGGTCACATACAGGAGTGTGGATGTGGGGTCATGTACAGGAGTGTGGATGTGGGGTCACTTACAGGAGTGTGGATGTGGGGTCATGTACAGGAGTGTGGATGTGGGGTCACATACAGGAGTGTGGATGTGGGCTCACGTACAGGAGTAGAAATAATTCAGAGACAGCTGTGTCACCAAGGCCTACCCTAGCAGGGATGCCAGCTCCCAAAGCTGGGAACCTGGAGCACACAGCACAGCCTGCAAATAGCTCCACAGGTTGGAGAGCGTCCTTCCCAGGGGCCTCAGCTAGTCTAAACCTCTTCCAGGCGGCCTTGGCTGGTCTCTGCTTCTTCCAGACACCTCCGCTTGTGGGAAACTCATCTTGGGAGCTCAGCTTCACTTCCTCTGAGAGGGACTCTCAGCTTTAATCTTTACTCTGGAAGGGAGGGGGCCTAGTGAATCTGGTCAGTTTCAGGGATTTCCTGAAGCTATTTTGAGTTGGTTTCCTTCCTACTTAATGATCCGACTCTGCAAGATGAAACATTTCAATCCAAGGATAGCTGAGGGGTGGTTTTGTGTCTCTGTCCTACCCTGCTTGACGGGAAGGAGACAGGGAGTGAGAATCCATCCACAAGGATCCTGCTCTGTGCCTCTTCCACCAGCAGCTAGCCAGGACCCACGTGGCCAAGAATCCCTTCTGCATCCAGAGGAATCACTGCGGGGTCACATTCTTCTCCCACCCCCCAGAAGTCCTTCTCTGGACCTGCCCTGCTCTCTGGTAACCCCAGCGCCCCTTCCTGGCCTGCCTCACAGCCAACCCTGGAACCTCTCTGGTTTATCTCAAAATTCCAGAGTCAGCTCTGCTTTTCCCATAGTCAACAGGAGATCCATTTGCAAAAGAACAAGACAGTGGTGAGGAGGGAGGGGGCCTCAGGCTGGCTTCTCCCCGCCAGTGACTAGGAGTGAGGGAGCCTCAGGCTGCCCCCCTCGCCTTAGCAGCTCCTTTCCAATGGACTTTGGAAAGAGAGCACTGCCCTGCTCCCTCTTTTTATTTTTCCACAAGTCTTTTTGAAAATACATTCTAAAATATTTGCCAGTGTAGGAGAAATACATTTATTTAGACAGGAATGGAAAAAAATGCTGTTAGCAGTTTTTCCATGGAGGCTTCCAGCCCACAGAGGTCTCTCTATAAATACTCTTACCCCAACCTGCCTCAATTATCTATTAAAATAAAGCAGACAGCAAAATGTGAAGTGCTAACACTCTTGGATGGCTTGAAGAGACTGGCTGAGACAGTAGAGGGGGGCTGTGTCCAAGTGGCATGTGGTGGACACGGGTCACTGAGAGATCTAAGTAGCTGTGGAAGAATGGGGGGCACAGAGGGCACCCCTGGACACAGAGGGCACCCCCTGGACATGGAGAGCACCCCTGGACACCGAGGGCACACCCTGGACACAGAGGGCACCCCTGGACACAGAGGGCATCCCCCGGACATGGAGAGCACCCAGACTTAGTTCTCCTTGTTCTTCCCCAGAAGTCAGCCTCTCTGGCCTACCAGCTTCTCGCTTTCTCCAGATGTGGGATCTCAAGGCAGTGACTGGCCTGCTCTGAGCTCCTGTTTCCTCCTTGGAGGCACAAGCATGGCAGCATACCTGTTTCCGGGCACCATCATGAAGACAGTGTCTTTGATAGCAGACATACAGCACCCAGCAGCGGGGAGCAGGCAATGGCAGATCTGCCGTTCCACTCAGGGAGACTTGAGGGAGTGCCAGGGCTAGGATTCTTGTCTTGGAGCTGTCCCTGCAAAGTGCTTGGCCTAGCTTTGCCCAGCTGGTGTTTATTTGGTGGTTCTGGGGGAGAGGGTACACAGTGCAATGTGACCTCTTAGTGTTCTAACAGATACCCCACAAACAGCCCCACTGTGGTTCCCTTCACTGGCTTCCCCAGTTAGTCAGTGGCCAAGCAGCCCCCCAGCCTGGTTTCCTAACTCCCAGAAAGCACTGTCATCCTTCTGCCCAAACCCCAGAACCACTTCCCAGCTGCTCCTGTAGGCAGGAGAGCCAAGGGAGAAGGTGGAGCACTCACTCCTTTGTAAGACTTCACCTCTAGGAGCAGGTAAGGACAAGCACAGTCCTCACCAGCACTGACCCACATTCTGGAGAGTTCCTAAGACAGGAAGACGAAGTCCCGCCGCAAAGAGCTGACTCTGCCGTGGTGGTTGTCTGTACAGAGCTGCCAGAAGAGCAAGAGACCTCCAGCTGACATGTGCTAAGGAGGGGTGTGTGGAGGGTCAATCCCAGGGCCACCCTGGAGGAAGAGGATGTGGGGTACACCATGAAAAAGACAGACCTAGAAATGGAGAAAGAACATCCCATGGAGGTTAGGCTGTCTCAAATGTCAAGGTATGAAGGTCACAATAAGCCATGGTGAGCCACAAGGCCCAAGGCCACTGACCACATTTGGTGGCCTGGATTCAGGCACCCATAGCTGGGGAGAGTCCTCACCTCACTTCCTCCCTGCCTGGGTGAGAGGATATGGTGGGGTTAACTAACCTGCTGGGCCCAGAAGGGACTCCCCTGCCCAGGTCTCACCCAGAATTCGCCCGGGACTGGAAAGGGGAATCCCCTTCATAGGTCCCTTCCTGGTTCTTAGGATCAAGAACTACTTGGCTGGGGTGCCCCCACCTCTCCCTAGCTTTAAGCATACATTCAAGAACAAAAAATAAAAAATGGGGACACCTAGACAGGGTTTCCCCGGGGCTATCCCAGAGTTCAAGAAGACCACTGGCAGAAGGGTCTCTGTGAGTAAAAGGCCAGACTGGTCTACAGAGTAAGTTCCAGGACAGCCAGGGCTACAGAGAGAAACCCTGTCTTGGGGGACAAAAAAAAAAATCCCAAACAAACAAAAAGCCACTGGAATAGGGTAGAAGCAAAGAGCCTCTTCCCTTCCAGGCGCTTCATCAAGTATTTCCACATTTGTTGTCCTTTTTTTTTTTTTTTTTTTTTTTTTGCCATTGAGGATCATCCGGGCATCCGGGCCAACATGAGAAAGTGGCCCAGGTCACCAGGCCGGAAACGGAGGAAGTTCATGCAAGATTTCCCACAAATCAAAGCCAGGAGGGCTCTTGATTAAAAACACATCAAAACCCTCTGCAACTTTAGAGTTACAAAATCGCACTCCCTCCTGTCAACAAAAGCAAAGGTTGCAGAGCTGCGTCCTGACGACGTGAGAGGTCCGTAATTGCACTACCCCGGGAGCCCGGGCTCGGTCATCCTCCGGTGTCAGATTCCAGATTTCTGTCACCTCGGCCCGAGACCGGATCTGGCCCGAGCCCTCCTCCCCGGGACCCGCCACCGGAACATCGGGCCGGAAGGAACACGGCGGTCCCCGTAGCAGCAGCACCGCCGAGCCCGGGTAGGGCCATGCCCCAGCCGCCCGCGCCAGGCCATGCTCGCCGGGTGCGGCCGGGGAAGCCGCTACGTCACCGCGCAGTCCGCCGGGAGCGCGCGGGGCCAGCCAGGATTCCATTACATCACCCACGCCGCGCTGTCAACACCGCTGCAGGTCATTGGCTGCCGCGCCGCCCTCCCAGCCAATAGCACGGGATTATGCAAATCGTCGCTGAGCCAACGCTTCCTTTGGCTCCGGGGTATGCAAATAGACGTCATTGCCTGGGTGGGGGTGGCCTGGGCCCGGGATGGGGGTGGGTGGGGGGAAATGAGGGTGTGTGGAAATTTGCAGCAGGGTTGGTTTGGAGACTTGGCATCCCAGATCTGTTCCAGCCAGTCCCGAGGGGCACGGAGTGCGATCAAAGGTGAATGCCCTCAATTCTGAGGCCCTTTCCCGTTAGGCCCATACAAGCAACGGTGCAAAAACGAAGTTAATTGCTGGGCGTGGTAGCACACGCGTCTGTAATAATCAGCGTTTGAGAGCTGGCCCGCCTGAGTTACAAGAAACCCTGCCTCGAAAAAAAGCAAAACAGAAGGGCTGGAGAAATGGCTCAGCTGTCGAGAGCGCTGCCTGCTCTGGAAGAGGACCCGGGTTTGGGTCCTCACAATCGTCCTGGACTCCAGGAGATCCAACGCCTTCTTCGAACTCAGCGGCCACCAGGCATGCACCCGTGGTGCACATACGTACATTGTGCAGGCAAAACTCTCACACATAGCAAATAAGTAGATGTTTAAGGTTGGTTTGTTTTTTAAGGAAACAGCAAAAACTAAGACAACTTGGAGGCAGGGAGGAGAAAGGAGAAGAGATGACGAGGTACGGAAATGCTCAGGTCAAAGTCCTGTGAGAAGACACCACAGAGAACAAAAGAGACCCCTCTCTGCCCAGGAGGTAGTCAGAGCTCAGTTAGGGAGCCTGGTGTCGGGAGTGCCGTCTTATTGGTTAGGCTTCTCCAGAAAACCAGCCACCATAGCACATAGTCAGATGTCCGGAGGAGTCTCACTGTCACAGGGGTAGGTTCCAATGTCTCGGGAAAACCAGACAAAACTACACTTGTTATACAGAGGAATTTTTTTCTTGTCACTATTCCCTAAATAATTTAGTATTACAATAATTCACATAACATTTACCGCCCTAGACATTATCAGTACGCAAAACTTTTAAGTCTAAAGAAGAACCAGGAGTGGTGCTTTGTGCTTGTAATCCCAGCACTCAGGAGACTAGGGTAAGAGGATCTTGAATTTGAGGCCAACCTGGGCTATACAGTAAGACTATCTTAAAACCTAAATAATTATGGGGAAGAATGTGTATATGATATTTGTGAATATTACACTGTTTTGCATAAGGAACTTGAACACCTCAGTTCTGGCCTCCTCCTGGGGAGTCCTAGGATATCCCCAATGGATAGCAAGGATCTCTGGCTATAGAGATGGAGAGAGATATCTCTGGAAATTGGGGAACCAAGAATGCCCAAATCTACTGTATGCAAACGGGAGGCCCAGAGAACTCAGGGGAATAGAGAACATCCCAATGTGGTTCTGGAGAACCAGGAGTTCCGTGTGGAATGTGAAGCCTCGCTCACTGTGAAGGTGAGCTCCTGTTCCCCACATACTTCTGCTCTGTTCAGGCCCTCTGTGGATCAAGTAATTCATATCTGCTTGCTGAATGCTATCTTTTTAAAATATTTTATTTATTGTTTACTCATTTTTATTTCATGTGCACTGGTGTTTTGCTTTCATGTATGTCTATGTGAGGGTCTCAGATTCCCTGGAACTGGAGTTACAGACAGCGGTGAGCTGCCACGTGGGTGCTGGGAATTGAACCCAGGTCCTCTGGTAAAGCAGTCAGTGCTCTTTACCGCTGAGCCATCTCTCCAGTCCCTTATTTATTGTTTAAAGTGCACACATGTATATGATGTATGCAAAATAATGATGGGAGGGAGAGGAAGAGATAGAGAGGGAGGGAGGGAGGGAGTAGGAGGAAGGGAGAGCTAGGGTGTGTGCATGTCACAGAACCAGTGTGGAGGTAGGAAGACAACTCTTAAGAGTCAGTTCTCTCTCCATCCACCTGTGAAGACAGGCTCTCTCTTGCTTCTACCACTGTGCAGCGTCCTCCAGGCTCGCGGGCTGGAAGGCTCCCTCTGGATGCTGCTCCTGTTTCTGCCTCCTGCCTTGCTGTAGGAGGGCTGGGCTTACAGATGTGCGCTCCCTCATCCACCTTTGTGCATTGATCCCAGGGACGGAACTCGGGTTCCAGGCTGGTGTGGTGAGCGCTTTTGACAGCTGAGCCACCTCATCAGCCCACTGAAGGCAATTTTGACTCAGTCTAGCCATCCAATGTGGCTGCCTTTCAGAGTCACCCTCTTGCGCGCCCAGAAACAATGTTTCACTAGCTCTCCAGCCATGCCTTAGCCTCTGGTCAGGTTGGCACATTAAAATTAACTGTGGCAACAATAAGAAGAAAATAGAATATGGAAGGTCAATGAGACATTTAACTGGAAGTTGTTATTTAGAGAGGGATACGAAAGTGTTCCTCTACCAAAGCTGTCTGTTGCTTGCTTCTACAGGATCTATGTAGCCTTGGCTGGCCTCGAACTCACAGAGATCCACCTGCTTCTGCTTCCCAAGTGCTGCTGGGATTAAAGGTGTGTGCCACCATGTCCAGCCCGAAGCAGTTTTTAAACAGAGGGGAATTTTTCCAGTCCCAACCAGAGGAAACAGTACATGAGAAAGCCAGAGGTGGGACAGAGCCTAGCTCCTTGAAGCAGCTGAATAAGGCAAATAGCTAGAGCATGGTGACAAGAGACCTACCCCAGGAGGGAGTCCTGCTGGACCGTACAGGGCCATGTGCCCATGCTGGGCTGGCGCTTCCTTGCATCCTTCTTCTTCCACCGGCCCTGTGAAGTGAGCACTGCTTTGGTATTTAAGAAACTGTGGCTCCAAGAGGTTGTCACATCCTGAGAAGTAACAGGGCAGGGTTCACATACCAGCCCCTGTGGTCTCATGGGCACACTGTGGCTGCTGTTGCCTCCCAGAGAGGAAGCTGAATTGGTTACTTCTGACTTCCATGTCTTACTACAGAGCTGGGGAAAAAAAAAAAGTAATCTTTGCTCTGTATGTGTCACCTGTTATTATAAGACCTCTGGCTGACTGGAGAGGTGGCTCAGTCATTAAGAGCACTGGCTGCTCTTCCAGAGGACCCAGGTTCAGTTTCCAAGCACCTGCATGGCAGCTCATAACTGTGAGTACATTCAGTCCCAAAGGATTCAGCGGCCTCTGCATAAGTTGCGTGCACACACATTCAGGCTGTCTTAGTTAGGGTTTCTATTGCTGTGATAAAACACTGTGATCAAAAGCAACTTGGGGAGGAACTGATGGAGAGGCCATGGAGAAGTGCTGCTTGTTGACTTGCTCCTCATGGCTTGCTCAGCCTGCTTTTTTATGGCACCCAGAACTGCCAGCCCAGAGGTGGCACCTCTCACAAAACACCATTCTCCCCCATCAATCACTAATTAAGAAAATGTGCCACAGGGTCGCCTATAGACCATTCTGGTGGGAGTATTTTCTCAATTGAGGATCCTTCTTCCCAAATGACTCTCGCCTGTGTCAAGTTGACATAAAAGCTAGCCACCACCTCAGGCAAAACACCCACACACAAAAAAGTTAAAATTTGAAAGAAAAAAAGAGATAAGAGGGTAGGTTCGTAGCACATTGGTATGCAAAGTTCAGCACATGCGCACGCACACACACACACATTTTTTTTTAAGCTGGGGTAGAAATGATTCATGCCTCTGGCCAGCAGGGGGCACTCTGGAGGCTGTGGAGGACTGACCTGCTGGCAAAGGTGATCTTGTGTGCTGTCCCGGGTTGCCAAGAGATGATGTTCCTACTGCTCTCAGCCTCTGGAGCCAGCTCTGGTTACTGCTGACAGGCCCCATAGGAGACTGCCTGAAGAGTCAGGCAGGTAGGAGCGTGCCAGAGGAGACAAGTCCTTCCTGATGCAGGCAGTGTGGTGTTCCCCTTAGGGAACCCGGGTTACCGTTGGGGACCCATAAACTCCCAGGGAAGGCACAGAACACTGGGCAGTGCCTGAGCAGGGACGGGTCTGGGAGTGAACGGGTACAGGAGAGAGTCCTGTGCTCTACCAACAGAGCTACCCCCCAGCCTGGTTGGTTGGTTTTCTGTCGTTCTGGGGATTACATCCAGGGCCACTCACATTCTAGGCAAGTGCTCTGCCTCTAAGCTATATCTCCAGTCTTTTTATTTTCCACTTTGAAACAGAGTCTATACAAGTTCTGGAGACTGGCATAGAGCTCACTCTGCAGCCCAGGCAAGCCTTAGATTTCCAATCCCCCTGCCTTAGCTTCATGAGTAACTAGGATAACAGGCGTATGTCACCAGGCCTGGCAGATATTAAAAGATACAGAAATAGGTGATCATAATCATGGTTTTTTTTGGTACTAGGAATGAAATACAACTCACCTTGAACGTAAGACCAGATGGTCTTTAAAAGTTCAGCCATGGGTCTCTAAGGAATAAAGGGTAGCACCTGATCCCTAGAGGGTGGGTTTGGCTCCACCCTCTCCAGTGGGCATCAGAGTGTGTGGGTACTTCCTTGTGTCTAGGGGGGGGACTATATCAGCCAGGATCCCTTTGCCCAGTTTCTTAGGTTCCCCTCCCGAGAGGCCTTGGCAGAGGACCCAGAAGAGCAGAGTGCCCAGATGTGCTGATGGCATGAAAGTGCTTGCTGTGGGGAAGACCTGGCCGTCAGCCTTCCAGGAGGCTGCCGGTGGACTGAGCAAGGTGATCCGCCAGGCACTCACACCATAAATGTCCAAACACAGAGACACTTTAGGACTGTTTCCTGTAGGCCAGGCAAGGCCACCCTCCCAGGAAGGGCTGGGGAACCTGAGCTATGGCAGGCCCTCGGGTCACTTCAGGAGCATCTGGTGGTCAGCTGATGGTCCTGGGGACCATTCATCATGCTCCCAGCCCATTCTGCTGACCATGACTATTTCCAACTGTGGACAGAGAGCTGGTTATATAACAGGCTAGAAGATGAGTTGAGGGGTGTCATGGCAGGGAGGGACTTTCCCCAGTCAGGGCGGCACCTCAAAGGTTTGGGAGGAGCTGGGGATCTAGAGGAACCACTGAGGACAGCTACACAGCCAATCAGCCTGCTTAGATGGCCCATCCT